TGCTCCCAGGCTACAAACCTGTACAGCACATTTTCATGGTACTGAATACTGTAGGCAATTATAACACAATGGTATCTGTGTAACTAGACATATCTAAACATAGAAAAGGTACAGTAAAAATATGGTATAAATAATTAAAAAATGGTGCGACTATATAGGGCACTTGCCATGAATGGAGCTTCAAGACTGGAAGTTGCTCTGGGTGAGTCAGTGAGTGAATGTGAAGGCCTAGGATGTTACTGTACACTACTGTAGACTTTATAAACACTGTCCACTTCAGCTACACTAAATTTATGAAAATATTTCTGTCTTCAATAATAAATTAAACTTTGCTTCCTATAACTTTTTTACTTTATAAACTTTTTAATTTTTTAAAACTTTTGACTCTTTTGTAATAACATTTAGCTTAAAGCACAAACACATGATATAGCTGTACAAAAATATTTTCTTTCTTTACATCCTTATTCTATAAGCTTTTTTTCTATTTAAATTTTATTTTTACTTTTTAAATCTTTTTTTAAAAACTAAGATACAAACACGTTCATTAGTCTAGACCTACACAGTATCAGAATCATCAACATCACTGTCTCCCTCCTCCACATCTTGTCCCACTGGAAGGTCTTCAGGGACAATAAAACACATGGAGCTGGCATTTCCTATGATAAGGAAGCCTTCTTCTGGAATACCTCCCGAAGGACCCGCCCGAGGTGAGTGTCACTCCTTGAGGAGGTGTCACTCTTTTCAAAAACATGTCCATGGTAATTTGGTTTCTTTCTTTCATCATAGATTTGCTTGTAAGCAGATAAGGCACCACAAACATTTCTATTAATGAAAACCTTTCAGAGTCGGGGTCCATGTTTTAAACTTTATAAAGAGCTTGTTGAGGTCTGCCAAAGTTTCTGCTAAACCCTTCACTATGAGTTTTCTTGAGGGGAGGGCGTCTCCTTAATCTCCTACAGTTTTCTTTTATCTTGCCTCTTCTTCAGCTATGTATTCCTATTCCAGTTCCAACAACTCTTTAGTCAGTTCCTCAGAGATCACCTCTAGAAGCTTCTCAATGTCACCTTTATCTACACCCAGGCTTAAAGTTGTTGCCATCTCAACCACAGCCTTGATGATTTTTGCAACCCTCATCCTTGGCAAATCTTTTGAAGTCATGGATGAACCTCCTCAATGTCTTCTTCCATGTGCCACTCATATACTCCTTGCTGACATCATCCCAAGCCCAAGCAGTCATTGGTGTAGTCACAGATGTTGTAATCAGAATTGCTTCAGTATCTTAAGTAGCTGTAGCAATAACCTAGGCAAAGACTTCTTCCTTGAGTAGTAGGCCTTAAAAGCTGCTACAACTTCTTTATCCATTGGTTGGATCAAAGAGGTGGTACTTGGAGGGAGAAACACCACTTTGATATTAGGATGAAAATCCCAGTAAAAGGAGAATTTGCAAAAGTATTATCATTAATAAAGAAAATCTTGAAAGGCATGTATTCTCCAAACAGTACTTCCCCATTTCGCTGGCAGAGCAATTCTGGAGGGCATCTTGGAAGAGGAGCTGGTCATTCATGACTTCTTATTGCTCTCCTAATACACTGGCAGTGTGTGCTTACTGATATGCTTAAAGGCCCTGAGGTTCTCACTATGTGAGATCACAAGAGTTTTAATTTGTAGTCTGCAACACTGCGCCCAAGCAAGACTGTTATCCTTAAAATCAGGCCTTGACTTGGCCTCCTTATGGATGAAATTCAGGTGTCCCTTTCCAGACTTGGGAGGTTTCACCCATATTGAATATTTGTTCTGGCAAGTAATTTTCCTCTACAATCAGCTTTCGAGTGTCTAGAAATTCTTCAGCTGCCTTCACATCACTACTTGAAGACTCAACTCTTTCACATTATGTAATGAATAACAATTCTTGAATCATTTAAACCCCAAAGCTAGCAGTGAATTCAACATCATGGTCGGGTCTAGCCTTTTCTTTCAACATCACAAACTTTTTGCTTTGGCTGTGATCGTCATGATGCTGAGAGGGATACGTCTCTATACCTGGTCTTCAATACAGGTAATTAGAGCTTTATCCATTTCTGATACAAGCCCTTCTCAAACTTTTCTTAATCTTGCTGCTTTCAATGAAGATCCTTTAAAAGCTTCCATCACTTTGTTCTTGTTCTTCTAAATGGGAACTATTATGGAATGGGGACATACCTGACTGGCAAGCAATAATAGTCCTGATTTCCTACCTTCGTAGTCCTTAATCACTTTTAATTTTGTTTCCAGGTCAATCACTTGATGTGGCCTCTTACTGGCAACATCAGCAGTGGTTAATGTTTTACATGGTTAGGGGCCATGATGAACAAAACATGAGATTAAATCAAACACAAGAGAAAATGATGCAATCAAGAGACAGTAAACACAAGATGTATAAGGCTGCTACCAGTTTAACACAGCATATTGTTTTACAGCAAACTTTTTTTAAAGAAAGAGTACACTCTAAAATAACTGTAAAAAGTATAGTATAGTAAATACATAAACCAGTAACATAGTCGTTTATCATTATCAAGTATTACATAGTTGTATGTACTATATTACACGACTAGCATAGTAGGTCTGTTTATACCAGCATCACCATAAAAATGCACTGTGCTACATACAACATTACACCAGTTATGATGTCACTAGACCTAGACAGCAGGAACTTCTTTTTTAAAGTTTATTGGGATAACACTGGTTAATACAATTATATAATTTTCAGGTGTACATTATAATTTGACATCTATATATTCTATTGTGTGATTACCACCCAGAGTCCAGTTTCCTTCAGCTACCATGTACTTGATCCCCTTTACCCACTTTACCCTCCCCCAACCCCCTTATATTTGACAAGAGACTCTTTACCCTGTCTACTTCTTCCCTCCTTCCCCATCCCCTACTCTCTGGTAACCACTAGTCCATTGTCCATGTCCCTGAGTCTCTGTTTGTCCTGTTCATTTGACAACAGGAACTTTTAAGCTCCATTATAATCTAATGGGATCACTATCATATAGGCAGTTTGTTGACCAAAATGTCATTACATGGTTCATGGCTGTAAAAGCATAGAGATCTGGGTTCAAGGTATGGGTCCACCATTTACTAATTGTGTGATCTTGGTCAAGTTACTTCTCAGATAAAATGAGGTTAAAGAGTTCTTCATAGCTTATAGAGAGTATTATATGACTTCATATAAATTAATGTACTTTCCACAGAGCCTAATATATAATGCTCTATGAATGATAATTACCATTGTCTCTTCAACCTCCAACAATGTTAACAGCAAATTTTATGACTTCATAAAAATTAATGACTAAGCTATTATCATTTGAAACTTGGAAAATTCTAAGAGTACTAACCAGGCTTGACCCTACTTAGCTTCTGAGATCAGACGGGATCAGGCTTGCTCAAGGTGGCATGGCCGTAGACTGTTTTCTTTTCATAGTAATTCTGCATGGAAGTAGACTGCTTTTTTGGTCCATTTTTGGGAAGAGTAAAGATTTTAGGTGGATTAAAAAAATGTAGGTCAAGACTGTCCCCTTTTGTCAGAATAGTGAAGTTTAGTGTCCTTTTTCATACATATTCATTTATTGGTGGGGGGAGGGGAGTTATAGAAAGGTCTGATTGTTTTAGTAGGATCTTAATTCCTCTAATTTCCTTCTTTCCCTTAACTAACACGTCTCAAAAGGGTATTCCCCGCTTTCTAATTATCTCTTTCCCAGAAGTGATGCCTTTCCCAAACTGCCACCATAGGTCTCAAATACTTTCAAGTCCCTTATCTTTAGCTAGGAATGTGATCTACCAGGTCTTAGAATGCTTTCAGAAATTTTATATTTATTGTGGATCTTTTTCTTTCTATTGGAGTTTTTGTCAAAATTAGGCCCTCAATTCCTCTCTCTTCTTTTCCATGTAATTTTTAAATCCATCCCAAGTCTAAAACATCAAATATAGTTCTGTTGGAATTTACTATTTATTTCTTATTTAAAAACAATTTCAAGTTCATAATATTGTTTTTCTCCTAGTAAAGATGAAAGTGTGGGTTAAGTATGGTTTTATTTCTGTTCCTTCTTAACCTGTCCCTTTTTATTCTTATTATTACTGGCTGTGGTTTAATATTTTATAAACATTCTTAAAACACCCCAGGAAATAAAGCAAAGAGCTAAGTTTGTGAAAAAGTCTTTCTTTTGAAGATAGATCAAGTAACTTTCTTAAAACATCATGCATAGAGAAAAGATTCAAAAATCGAAGTCTCTCATATCCAATGACGATAATGCAAGAACATAAGAGAGTGATTTTCCCATCTCAGGCTCTGGTAAAATTCATTCATTCATCTACCCAACATTTACTGAGGATCACTAAATTGCCACTTAATAGGGATACAAAGGTAACTAAGACACAATCCCTGCCTCACAGAAAGTAGAGGAATATGAAAAAGTCATAAAGGTTAGATATAGGACAGTGTCCTTTACAAAAAGTCTTAAAAATATGTAAACCATACTACATATACTTTTTAATTATACACACACACACACACACACACACACACATATGTAGTATAAACACAAAAACGTGGAAGGGTGTGCTGAGAGAATGAAGGGAATAAAATCAGGTAGGAAAACAAAGGGAACTTCAATCTTATCTATAATTTGTAGTTTATTTCTTTAAGAAAGAAGAAGAAAGAAAGACCTGAAATAAATATTGCAAAGTGCTAAGATCTGACAAAGCTTGGTGATAAGACACATAGGTGAATCTGTTATATTATCTCTATTCTTTTCTTAAAATATTTTTTGTGATTTTTAAATTTTCTTATTCAAAATATAGTTCAATTTACTTACAAAATTTGTAGAATTTTAATTCAGAAGTTTCAGAATATGTTCAAATTGTGTAATAAACACAAAACTAAGAACCAATTTTAGGAATGAATGAGAAAAATGGCCTGAATACTGTACATCATTTTTTAGATGAAACATTATACATACCTGTGAGTGCTAAATAAGAAGCAATGTACCGCTTTTCCAGTCCATCTTTAATACTTTGAATTGCACCAAAAATTGGAGGTATAATCATAATCAGGTTACTCACTGTATTCCCTGTAGGAGAAAAACACAAGAAAGAAGATAATCAATACTACTTTAAAGATACATGCATTTGGCTCTTATCAAAAATTAAACAGGTGACTTCTCAGAAAGATAGTGAAAAGATATTAGCAGCTAAAAGTGAATGCTCTCTTCAACAAAAATTTTTCCAAGAATCCAAGTAAATAAAGATGCCTTCAGACAAATGAAACTAAGAATTTCAAACAGAGCATCCAGGAAAGGAAATACTAAATTCTAAAGGGAAAAAGTAAATGTATCTCAGGAAGAACCTCAAACATACAGCAGAAAATGGAGGCAGCTTACATAATGCAACTAAAAGGGTGGTCCATGGATACGGAATGTCAAGATAAAATATAGGATTGAGTTAATTTTGTCTTTTGAATCAAATGGCAACAAATCGGGTTTCACATTTTTCATGTCTTTTTAAAATTTCATTTTTTTGTGGAATGGAAAAAGATATTTGTATTTTATGGAATGTAGTAATAATCTTAACCTGATCTTTGTTATTGTCTTTATAAAAACAAAGCTCAAACGTGAATAGCAAAGAAACAATAAAAACCCTAATAGCAGAAATAAGTAGTAAAATGGGGAAAGAAATGGCTAAACTATTTTCTAAATTGATTCTGGGTAGGATAAAGCGGCCCAAAACATTCAAAGTTCCAAATAAATGATTTTCAATATAGGAGCAGATATCAAGACAAATACCAGTTAATGGGCATATACAGAATACTCTACCCTACAACAATAGCATATACATTCTTCTCAAGTGCACACAGAACATATTCTAGGATAGACCATATGTTAGGCCATAAATTAAATCTCAATAGATTTTAAAAGATAGATAGATAGATAGATAGATAGATAAAGTATCTCCTCCAACCACAACAGAATGAATTTAGAAATAAATAGCAGAAGGAAAAGTGGAAAATTTCACGAATTTGTGGAAATTAAACAATACTTAAACATTCTTAAACAACCTATGGATCAAAGAAGAAATCACGAGAGAAATGTGAAAATACCTAGAAATGAATTAAAATGAATACACAACATACCAAAATTAAAGGGACACAGCAAAAGCGGTGCTGAAACAAGATCTTCAAGCTGAATTGAAACGATGCTACTTAGCAACATGAAAATATAGGAAAATATACAATACACTGATGAAGGTAAATATATAGTCAAATTCAGACCACTAATACTGTAATATCATGGTGTATTAACCACTCTAGCATAAAGATAAAAGAACAAAAGTACTAAAAATAACTGCAGCTACAATAATTTTTTAACGAATACACAATAAAAATCAAGTAAACTGTGACATCGAAAACCTAAAAAGAGGAGAGTAAAGGGTACAGTTTTAATATGAGAAGTTATCAGCGTAAAAAAGACACATCTATAAGTTGTTTTATGTAAGCTTCATGGTAACCACAAAACAAAAATCTACAGTAGATATGCATAAGATAAAGAGAAGGGAATCAAAGCATACCACTACAGAAAAATCAATTCACAAGGCAGGCAGCAAGAGAAGAAGGGAATCACAAAACAGCCAAAAAAGCGTAAGTAGTCCTCAGCAGGCATTAATAAGTCTTAAACTATCAATAATTACTCTAAATGTAAATGAATTAAATACTCCAAGAGATTCACTTCAGTTTTAAAGATATACATTGGCTCAAAGTGAATGAATGGAGAAAGATATTCCATGCAAATGAAAACCAAAAGAAAACAGGAGTAGCTACATTTATATCAGAGAAAACAGACTTAAAAACAAAAACTATAGGAGATACAAAGAAGATCATTACGTAGAATAAAGTGTTAAATCACCAAGAGAATATAACAATTGTAAATATATATGCTCCCAACATCAGAGCACCTAAACATGTTAAGCAAATACTAATAAATCCAAAAGAGGAAATAGAGAACAATACAATAATAGTAAGGGACTTCAAAACCCTACTTTTAAAAATGAATAGATTATCCAGACAAAAATCAATACAGTAAAACCCCCTTATCTGTAGAGGATATATTTCAAGACTCCCACCCTCCCCCCAAAAAAAACCATGAATAGTACAGAACCCTATATATGCTATTTTTTTTTCCTATACATATATATTGATGATACAGTTTATGGCTTCTCTTTGGCATATCCAAATTGCTATAATCACTACTTTTGTGCCTTGGGGCCATTGTTAAGTAAAATAAGGGTAACCTGAACACAAGCACTGCAATACCACTGTAGTCAATCTGATAACTGAGATGTCTACTAAGTGACTAATGGGTGGGTAGCATATACAGCATGAATATACTGAATAAAGGATGATTCACAGGACAGAGCAGGATAATGAAAGAGTTTATCACATTACTCAGAATGGCATGGAATTTAAAACTTATGAATTGTCTGTTTCTGGAATTTTCCATTAATATTTTCGGACTGCAGTTGACTGAGGGTAATTAAAACTGCAGAAAGCGAAACCACCAATAAGAGGGGACTACTGTACAGAAAAGTTCGAATTCAACTATACCTGAGGCCAAATGAACCTAACAGACTTAAACATTACATCCAAGAGCAAAAGAATACACATTCTCATCAAGCACATTTGAAACATTCTCCAGGATAGATCATATGGTAGGTCATAAAACAAGACTTAGCAAATTTTAATAAAACTGAAATCATACGAAGGATCTTTTCCAACCACAATGGTATAAAACTAGGAATTAATAACAGGAGGAAAACTACAAATTCACAAATACATGGAAATTAAACAACATACTCCTGAACCACCAAATAGGACAAAAAAAAAAAAAAAATCTTGAAACAAATACAAACGAAAACACAACACACCAAAACTTACGAGATGCAGCTAAAACAGTTCTAAGAGGGAAATGTATAGCAATAAACACTTACACTAAGAAAAAAGAAAAATCTTTTATAGACAACTTAACTTTACACACCTCAAAGAACTAAAAAAGAACAAAGCCCAAAGTTAGGAGAAGAAAAGAAATAAAAGATCATAGTGGAAATAAATGAAATAGATCAATTTCATTTCTCAAACTACGAGCTGTTTTTTTTAAAAGAAAAACAAAATTAACAAACCTTTATCTAGACTAACTCAGAAAAAAAAAAAGAGGACTCAAATAAAGTTGAAATGAAAGAGAACGTTACAATGAATTTTGCAGGAATACAAAGGACCATAAGAGAGTACATGAACAATTATATGCCAACAAAAAACCTAGAAGAAATAGATAAATTCTTTTTATATACAATCCAATCCACCAAGACTAATCAGGAAGAAATAGAAAATCTGAACAGACTAATAACAAGGAGTTTGAATCAGTAATCAAAAACCTCTCAACACAGAAAAGCTGAGGACAAGTGGTTTCACTGGTGAATTCTACCAAACACTTAAAAGAATTAACACCAAATCTCAAACAACCAAAAAATAGAAGAGAGAATACTTCCAAACTCATTTTATGAGTCTAGCATTACGCTGATACTAAAGTCAGATAAGGACACAAGAAAATTACAGACCAATATCCCTGATAAATATAGATGCAAAATTCTCAACAAAATATTAGCAAATAAAATTTAATAGCACATTAAAAGGATCATATTCTATGACCAAGTAGGATTCATCCCTGTAGTGCAAGGATGGTTCAACAAATGCAAATCAGTAAATGTGATATACCATATAAATAAAATAATAAAATAATAAAATTCATATGATCATCTCAATAGATGAATCTGACAAAATACAAGATCCTCTTGTGATAAAAATGCTCAACAAATTGGGTATAGAAGGAATATATCTAACACAACAAAGGCCATATATGACAAACCCACAGCCAACATCACACTTAACAGTGAAAGGTTGAAAGCTTTCCTTCTAAGATAAGGAACAAGATAAGGGTTCCCACTCTCACTACTCTTACTTGACATAGTACTGGAAATACTAGCCAGATGAATCAAGCAAGAAAAAGAAATGAAAGGCATCTGAATAGGAAAGGAAGAAGTAAAATTGTCTTTGCAGATGATATGATCCCACGTTTAGAAAATTCTAAGATTCCACCAAAAAATTTCTACAACTAATCAATGAATTCAGTAAAGTTGTAGGATACTAAATCAACATACAGAAAATGATTCCATTTCTATATAACAAAATATCTGAAAAAGAAACAATCCAATTCACAATATTAAAATCAATAAAATATTTATGGGTAAATTTAACCAAGGAGGTGAAAAATCTGTACACTGAAATCTATAAGACTTTGATATTGCATGTTCATTGATTGTAAGAATTAATATTGTTAAATTGTCCATACTACCCAAAGCCATCTATAGATTAAATAAAATCTCTATCAAAATTCCAAAGGCATTTTTCATAGAAATAGAAAAAAACAATCCTAAAATTTATACTGAGCCACAAAAAACCTTGACTAGCCAAAGAAATCCTGAGAAAAATCAAAGCCAGAAGCATAACAACTTCCTGATTGCAAACGATACTACAAAGCTATAGTAATAAAAATAGTATGACATTGGCATAAAAACATATGCATACACCACTGGAACGAAACTGAGAGCCCAGAAATAAACATCACATATATGGTCAACTAATATTTGACAAGAGAGCAAAAAACACTCAAAGGAAGGATAGTCTCTTCAATAAACAGTGTTGGGAAAACAGGGTAACCACGTATAGAAGAATGACTTTATACTACTCATAAAAATGAACTCAAAATGGATTAAAGACATAAGCATAAGACCTGAAACTGTAAAACTCCTAGAAGAAAATATGGCAGTAAAGCTCCTGAACGTCAGTCTTGGCAATAATTTGGACATAATACCAAAAGTACAAGCAACAAAAGAAAAAATAACTGAGACCACATCATACTAAAAAGCTTTTGCATAGTAAAAGAAACAGTCAACAAAATGAACAAGCAACCTTCAAAATGGAAGAAAATATTTGCAAATCATATCTAATAAGTAGTTAATATCCAAA